TAAAGAAAAGATTATCTGCAGGAGTAGAAAGAAGCTGGAGGGGTTTTGAAATAATGATAACCTCCATTTTATACTATCTTACTAATTACATTTGGCATATTTTCCTTCTTTAGTGCTCTAGTCTTTCTCATAACCCAAGTTTAATTTCACCAATTTTCTGTACCATTGGGATAGTATTGACAATATTTCATTAAGTTCTGGTAACTTAATTTTTTTCACTATCAAGTTATTTCTTGGATGGGTGATTGGTAGACGTATTATGTTGTACTGATATTTTTGTATATATTATAATGTAATAGACATAATGCACATATAGACCTGTGTGCTATTTAGGTAAAATTTTAAGTTCATTTCTACAGGTAGCATTAGAGGAAGAACAAAAGCAAATAAAATATATATAGGTAGCAATTCCAGTTAGCAAAGGCCTAAATTATATTGTGACTTCTATTTTGTAAGAAATCTTAAAACACCGAAACTGAAGACACCAAATCTGAATATCCTTTAGTGTTAGCTCAAAATAACCTTTAATTTTATTAAGAAATCGAATTTGAAAACCTTCCATCTCTTTCGTAATTTATAAAGTAACTGAAAAATGAGTTTTATATAATTGAATGAGATCTATAAAAGTTAAGATGCCCTTAAAATACCAATGGAGAGGAAAGTGTTGGACTTTCACCTTCATCCATGATAAGGTGAGATTAGCCTTCTCATCATAAACAATTATAATACTGGACAAAACAAACAAGGCAATGAATTTCAGAAACTGGATAATGGGCAATGCAAACCTATGACAGTTAAGAGAAGGGGAATGCCAATTGATAATGGAATAACTGGAAAAATAATCCTTGAAAACTATAAACTATCAGTACTGAATCAAGAAGGAATAGATGTCTAGATAGCTCTATATCCTATGAAGTAGTATATTTATAATAAGATATTTTCCCATCAGGAAAACTCCAGATCTAAGTGGTTTCATTGATGAAATATGTTAAATATTTAAAGACTTAAATAATCCCAATGGTATGCAAACTAAAAAATCTTGAGGCAGAAGGAAGATTACTACATTTTTTTTTCTCAGAGATGAGATCTGTTCTGTCATCCAGGCTTCAGTGCAGTGCCATGATCATAGCCCACTACAGCTATGAATTCCTGGGCCCAAGTGATCCTCTTGCCTCAGCCTCCCAACATTTTTTTTTTTTTTTTTTTTGTAATGTAGAGATGAACTCTCTCACTTTGTTGCTCAGGCTAGTCTCAAACTTCAGACTTCAAGCAATCCTCCTGCCTTGGCTTCCCAAAGTGGCAGGATTATAGGCATGAGTCACCATGTTCAGCCTAAGATTATTCTTACATGAAAGCTTTACAAATAAATTAAAATAAATAAAATTATATACTGATATTCCTCATGAATAAGAGGAAAACATCAATAAATTGTATTATTATTAGAAAGCAATATAAAAATGACACTGTATTATGACAAAGTTGTTTTTATTCCAGGAATTCAAGATTGTTTTAATATAATTCACCACACTAACAAAATTAATGAGAAAACAAAGCAACAAAAACACAATGGTCCTTTCGATAGAAGCAGAAAGAGCATTTGTCACAATTTAATATCTATTTATAATAAGGACTCTCAAGAAATAGGAACAGAGAAGAATTTCCTAAATTTAATATAGGACAAAACTATAGTTAATACAGACAATACTAAAAAGATGAACTCATTCCCTCTAAGATTTGAAACTATATGCTTTCACATCTATTATTTAATATTGTGCTAACAATCCTAGAGAATGCAATGACAAAATCATCAACAAGAAAACAACAGATATAAATATTGAAAAGGAAGAAGCCGACTGTCCACAACCATTCACAGAAAATAGCTTATTTAACCCCCAAATTAAAAATATTAATAAATCTACTAAACTTTATACGTGAAATTAGCAAGGTAGCATGACATAGAAAATCAAGTGTATAGTTAGATACTAGCAAAATCTAAATTTTAGAATACATAAAACTCTTAGGGATAAATTTAGTTAAATATATTCAAGGACTGTACATATAAAACTTTTAAATATTTATAGAAACTAAAAACATAACAAAATAAAAGGAAAGGTAAACCATATTCATGGATTTAAAAAGCAGTAATGTTAATATAAACATTCTCTTTATATTAATCAATAATTTCAACACCTCATCAGATTTTGTGAAAACTGAGAAACTGATTCTAATCTTTATTTGGAAATGCAAAACTAAAATAGACATAAGTGTTTTTTTTTTTTTTCAAATCAAAAGTTTTGTTTGTGAAAACAAAATGTACTCCTTTAAACTCTCCAATTAAAAAAATACTGTGTAGACATACTATATAAGACACTCCAGTACTGGCTTAAAAATAGACATTAGACCATTTAGTGTGACAGAATAAAATGTACTCATTCATATCCACACATATATGGTCAGTTGATTTTCAAGAAAGTAGCCTAGGTAATTTAGTAAGTAAAGAAGTGTCTTTTCTAATGAATAGTGATGTAATATCTGAATATTTATATGGGAAATAATGAACCTCAACCCCTACATTAAAAGTTCACAGGTATGAATTTAAATATATTATGAATCAAAAGTAAAAATCTAAAACCAAAAAAAAAAAAAAAAAAAACAGAAAAAAAACAGTCTTTACAAATGTTGGTGTAGGGAAATACTTATTTGATAAGATGGAAATAAATTAATAAGCTGAGATTCACTGAAATTCAACATGTCAAAAATCAAAGTAAGATAAAAATTGGGGAAAAATACTGAAAGTACATAGGATATGTATCTTAAATATATAAGAATTCTTACAAGTCAATGAGAGATAAACCCAGTAAAAAATTGCAAAAGATTTAAACATTTCAAAATGGAAAAAATACCAGTGACCAGTTAGCATAAGAAAAGATGTTCTACATCTATATCCATCAGAGAGAAACAAAGTAAAAGCACAAAGAGATGTCATTACAAAGCCAGAAGAACAGCTAAAATTGAAGATTGATTAGTTGCGAGTGATGCTGAAGATGTGAAACAAGTGGGGCTCTGGTACGTCATTGCTTTTGGGAGTATAAAGTTCTCAACTAAGGAAAGTGGTTGAACAATTTCTTTAAAAAAATAAGCATGTGCTTATATATGTCCCTGCAATTCCTCTCACTTTTACTCAAAATAAGAGAAAAAAAAATCTTCTACAGATTTTGTACAAGACAAAAGTCTTCCAGAAAAATATTCATAGAACGCTAGTCATAATACCCCCAAAAAGAAACAACGCATGGGTGAATGGATAAAAAAGCAGTTGTACAATCATCCACAGGAAATAGTACTTAGCAGTGAATAACAAATAAACTCCTTACACATACAACACAGATGAATTGCGGCTCTGTTATGCTGAGCAAAAGAAGCCAGACACAAGATTATATAAGCTATGATATCATGAGTATAAAATTCCAGAAAAGGTAAAACTAATCTATAATAAAAATAGAATCAGTGATTGACTGGACATGGGGAGTAAGAGGACTGTTTGCAAAGAGGTGGGGGGACTTTATTCTGAGGCAATGGAATTATGCTTTATCTTTATGGAGTAGTACATATTGGCCAAACTTACTGATCTGTATGTTTATTATGTATATTTTTTATAGTATGTACATTATATTTCAATGAAGATTATAAATAATACACATAGATTTACTAATTAAGAAGAATTTATCAAAACATTTCATGAATCATGAACTTGAAAACTCATTTTCCTAAATGATAATCATAGCTCCAATTCTACTTTTACTTTCTTAATAAGACATTTTGAAGTTCTGAGGAAGTAGAGACTAGCAGAGTTTCTCAATCTTGGCATTATTTACATTTTGGAAAGAATAATTATATCACTGTGGAGTGCTGCCCTGTGCATTACAGGGTGTTTAGCAGCATGCTGGGCCTTCATCTGTTCCCCCAATAGTGACACTCAAAAAGGGCTCCAGACATTGTTAAATGTTCCTGGGGGGTAGAAAGAAAGGGTCCTAGGAGGAAAGTCTTTGACCTTGGAAATTACAGATTTGGGACATCAAGTCTGTAGTCAGAAAGATGTGGATAGATTTCCAGACTTAACAGTTGTCAACTTTGTTTTCACTGCAGTTCACTTAATTATTCAAAGCTTCTATATTAATTCACATGTATACTTTGAAAATAGATAATGAACATCAGGATACTAACATTATGCTTGACATCAAATCAACCCTTAACACGAATATATAGTGTTATTATCTCTGTTCAACTGTGCAATTATCGTCTGTGAATAAAATTACTAAAATAACATCTTGTTATTGCTACACTACTTTACAGTTTAACTTTTTATAGCTTATGAGCTCCATTACATATATTTATTATTATTAAAATGTTAATTTTTATTTCCCATTATAAGGCTAATATTAAATAACCTTATTAAATAATTAATAAATAATTAAATAAATATTAAATAATTAATCCTATTGTCAAAGATTTTCTTTTTTGGTCTGTTATATGGGTGCCAAAAACAAGGCATTTAACACATCTGATTCTTTGTGTTCTCCATTGTGAAACAAGAAAATGTAAATTCTTTAATTATTGCAACATGCAAAGGAAATGAAGTCTTTTGAAAAATTTAGGTTTCAATAATTTAAAAAATTATCCTTAAATCCTTAAATTATTTACAGTCCCTAGAATTTAAAGAAAGAAATAAAAACATATATAAATGATGTAATATGGATAAAGCCTCGAGGGAGAGAGCAGAATGAGATATAAGTAATTCTAATATAGCTCTAAAAATAAGCTGATGCTTCATTCCTTGAGCAGAAATTTATGCTGATGTTGACAAAGAATAAAATATTTTACAGCCACAGGTAATATAATAACCCACGTATCTTGAAAAGGCAATATAATATTTTTTACTCATACTACCTTTTACCAGCTCTCATTCAATCATTAGCCAAATATTTGTTAAGTATGATAGATACCCATCATAGTAATTCAATGAATATCAAATCAAAACCACAGATTCTGTTTCAAGAGGGTAGTTTAGTATAGTTGAGGAGGAATAGCTTACAATGAAAGAGGAAATAGACCAGTTACAGTCAACTTCTGTGAGAGTGAACAATAGATCTGAAGCAACTGCACCTCTAGTAATTAAAGAAATGCTGCATGAGATGTGTAGTAGATTAAGACTTCAAAAATGTAGCACTTTGTCATTAAAGAGGAAAGAGGTGTTTTAAACAGGGCATATTGCTAGAAGAAAGTTCTAAGGTGCAGTTAAGCTGAGAATCTTTGGTATTAGTGAGATAACTGGCTCACCCAGAACCTGGTGTTACTGAGTAATGTGAGTTGCAGCAAGATTATAGAGGCCTTTCAATACTGGGTGGAAGAATTATAACTTTTTCCACAGTGATTAAGTATTAAACAATTTGAAAAGGATTATACAATTGATATTGTAGAAATATACATACAGTGACATGAAGTACAAAGAATTCCAAATGGAGGGTGGAAAAGAACACCAGAGAGCAGTAATGTAACTATCAGCGTTTTGTTTAGTTATAAAAGATAGTGTGAAAGACTGAATTACTGCATCAATCAATTTATGATTTATGTAAACACTTCTTGTATAAATAAATTTCTAAATTTCTATTTTTTAAAAATTATTCACATTGGTACAATTTACTCCCATGTATAAAATGTGGTTTTGGTTTACAAATGTGGTGGAAGGAAAAAAAAATATTTTCTATAGATACATGCATGCATTTAAAAAATATATTCTAAATGGTTATTTTCTTCTGACTCTTGAGGACATAATATCACAGTATTTATAATATGTGGGGGAAATATGTTATTTGTAATGTCTCTGATTATCTAATATCAGCCATAAGACTGCTCAGGTGGAGAACAGCTTAGCTAAACCCTCATGGCCCCAGTGAAACACAGGCTGCCTCAAATCTGAACAGGTCTATTAGGAAAAAAATAAAAACCAAACAATACAATGGCAAATGTTGTGTATTTTGGGTAATCTGAGGGCCAATTGCATCACCACCATGTTCCTTCAATTTCCTAAGCAGAGATGTATTACTTCATGTATCAGGTATCATGGTACCAAGCTGAAGAACTTGGAAAGAAATAGTCCTACTCTGACCTCAATCTGTGAACTTTGTAAAATTGCAGGTTAAAAAGTATTCTCACATTAATTTTAGTTCTCCAACTAAGCATCTTTTTCTATACAAACTTTGGCTAACATTGTTGAAATGCTTTGAAATATTCTGGAGATAAAATCGGAAGATTTTTTAAATAAAATTTCTATGATGATGATTTCTTTTAAACACTCTGACACAGGGAGTTGAAATGCACTTCATAAGAAAAAATAAAACCAGCTTTGGTACAAATAGAATAAATAATTAAAACATTTCTGTGTCTTTATAATAAGTTTTCCCCAGAGACCAAGCAAAACTAAGCAAAACAGATCAAACCAAGTCAGAGAACAACGACAAAAATCAGCACTTACCCATATTTTGCAAAATTTGCCCACCGTTTCACTATGGATCTACTCAAAATTTCCTCAGCTTTTGTGTAATTAACTCTTCTTTCCAGAGGTAAACCAAAGACAAATTCAATTTCATAGCCATGCATCACTCCCATCCATTCTGGCCACGGAAGTTTGGAGGATCGGTGTTCAAAATAGTAGAAAAAGGCATTATTTCCCCATTCTGAGAACTTCTTGGTGAACTCCAAGGCAGGGCATATGATATTATAATCCCCAACAGCATCATCCAACGCCTCACGGTAGTTTTCAGGTCTCTGATCATCTACCCAGTCTGTGTAATGAAAAAGGATGGATTCCTTTCCAAACTCACTCACGCCTGGAAAAAATATTTTTAAACCTTCCTGAAATTCGTTTCTAGTTATGATACTATCGTTATCTTTGCTGAAGCCAGGAGCACCATAGACTAAAAAAGCTGTCCCTTCATCTTTATTAACACCCACCAAGATCTGGGTTTTTTTAAATTGTCCAAGTTCAAGTAATATGTCTGGCATGTCAGTGAGAAAATCACCATCCATGGTTGGACCGAAGTTTACTGACAAGAGAGTCCCATAGGGGACAACAAATGCTTCATTCAGAAGAATTTCGTGGGGATCTTTATTTCTAAGGCACTTGACTATTTCAGTCTCATTATCTCTAGAGCAACCAGTCAATTTAGCCAAGGTCAATGTTCTGTTCCTAGCTTCATAAAGAGATGTTACTGCCCAAGGAGCATTAGAGGATCCACTTTGTAGAATGGCTCTGGTGAACAATGAATGGCTTCCAGGAGAAAGCAAATGCAGGCTAACTGAAGCTGCTCCTGCACTTTCTCCAAAGAGAGTTACACTTTTAGGATTTCCACCAAAGGCTGCTATATTTTTTTGAACCCACTGAAGAGCCAACTGTTGATCAAATAAACCCATGTTCCCTGGAGCCTCAGGATTTCCTGGCAAAGCTAAGAATCCAAGGGCACCCACCCTATAGTTCATTGACACTACAATAACTCTTTCAACTCGAGCCAGAAACTTGCCATCATAAACATGTAAAGATGATGTTCCACTCTGAAAACCACCACCATAAATCCATATCATTACAGTAGCATTTTTTGGTTTAGGTGCCGGAATCCATACATTTAGATATAAACAGTCTTCACTGAGGTCAGTGTTTGGGTTCCACATCTCTGATCCATGGAAGCCTGGAAAACTTTGATCTATGTTCTGATAGCAAGAATTTGCATATTTTGTGGCATTCCAAATATCAGACCACTTGGTCAGAGACTGTGGCTTTTTGAATCGAAGTCTACCAAGAGGTGGCTGTGCATAGGGAATTCCAAGAAAGGCTGTTACCGTGCCACCAAGAACTGTTAAGTTCATCCCTCTGACTTTTCCATTCTTTGTTGCAATTACGATGTCATCTTCAGTATGTGACTTTCCAATAAGCATGCAGAGCAAAAGAAACCAAAAGAGAAATCGGATGCATATGATTGTGGCTTTGCTATGCATATTGATTTCTGAAAGAGAGGTAAGTATAATGTTTTATAAGCCTTCTGCATATAGCATATTATACTTTACTGATGATAATTATCTAAAATATAGTAGTTAGTAATTCTACAAATTATGAAAACAAGAGATATTTTAGTTTTCAATTTAGAAAAAAAATAGTGGAATGGAAAATAAAAAATATTCATTTTGGGGATATTTATTGCTAAAGCTTTGTAAGGAAGAGGTAGTCGAATGTTTGTCCTAGTCAAATTTAATATTACTTCTGACTATATGTACAGTTCCACCAAAAAGCAGTAAACAGTAGTCTACCTACATCAGACATAATTTCTACCTTGGTAAGAGGAGAAAATACAAGTTCATATATTCTCTGAAATATCATGACTGGCTGGTTTTTGGCAGCACTGTTAAGTAGGTTAAGAATTTTTAAGGATCAATAGATTGTCATTATTGTCCTTTTCTGTTTTCTTTGTCTTTTCGGTGGTCCCTTTTGCCAAGTGATACCTTCCTCTGTACGATATCTTCCTCTAGTATATAAACTGAAGATAATTTAAACAAATTATTCATAGAATATTAAGTAACGAATATATGGTAGTCACCATTATTCTACAAACTGTGAAAGCTAACAAACATGCCACCACTGGTAAGGGCTATGGAAAAATAAAAAGTGAAGGCTGAGGATATATTCCAGGTAATTTCTCTAAAATTTAATAAACATGAGGGACTCTCTACAACATTTATAATGTCAATAGAGAGAAGCAGGGGCTAGTATTGTAATGTCTGGGAGAAGACTGTGGCTTAAGAGGAATTTTATACTCAGTATTACTCAACATGTATTAAGATTTGTTATAGCAATTTGTTAACAGATTAAAGTATATGCAACTAGTGAAGCTAAATGTGTTAGCACAGTCAGAATTACTTGCATTTTTATAGTGAAAAAAATGACTGAAATTAGAGGATCGAAGCTTAGAAACTATTGGGCCACATGGCAGAAGCAAAAATAATCTTTGTGACCTACAAAATCATAAGTACTTGACATTTATGAAATATTAAACAATATTTAATGGATGACATAGACTATTGGGGAGATCAACGTTTTATCAGAAATTCATAATGCAGACATGAGTTTCTTTTCAATAAGAAAGAAATTAAAAATCAGATTTGGGAACTGTGACAAAAAGGGACAGCAAAATGTAATGCAAATATCCTTTAAAAGAACTAATGCCTCTTTTTTTTTTTTTTTTTTTTTTTTTTTTTTTTGAGATGGAGTCTCACTCTGTCGCCAAGCTAGAATGCAGTGATACGATCTCAGCTCACTGCAACCTCCACCTCCTGGGCTCAAGCGATTCTTCTGCTTCAGTCTCCCAAGTAGCTGGGATTACAGATGTGTGCCACCACTCCCAGCTACTTTTTGTATTTTAGTAGAGATGGGGTTTCACCATGTTGGCCAGGCTGGTCTCGAACTCCTGACCTCAAGTGATCTGCCTGCCTCAGCCTCCCAAAGAGCTGGGATTACAGGATGAGCCATCACGCCTGGCCATAAAAGAACTAAAGGGTTTATGTAACTGAAAGAAACCCGACTAAAATAGTCAATTGCAAATACTGATTCTCATTCACATAATAATAACAAAGATCCATTAATGTACAAAGTCTTCCCTTTATTTTTTCTCAAGTTGCAATCCAACCTACACAACCAATGAACGAATCCTACAAACACTAAGCATTTGTATTAGTTTTTTTCTTTATTTAATTTAGATTTCTCAAAACAAAGAGAATAAATAACCATTCTAATGTCTATGTCCCAGACCTAGGATATCATATTTCTAATCAGCCTAATTCACCAACGGTCATAGGACATCTGGTGACCTACAAGTATTTTTTATCCCAATAAATATCTGAATTGATTAATTCATAGTCTGGAGCATTTGGTTCAGGGCTTGATACTTAATGGATATATCTATATCTATATCTATATCTAATTCTAACAATATCCATATGTATATGCATATATATTTACATATAAAATGACTGCTATAATAATAAGGTTTAAAAAAATCAAGCTACAAGATTATTATTTTTTCAGTTCTGTTTGGTAGAATTAGATGTGTGCTAAGATCAATAAAACATAATTAAAATATATTTTTAACAGCATTTCTACATTCATGATATTTAGGTACTATTATATAATAATAAATGCAATTTGTTGTACAGTCAAATGCCACTTAATGAGAGGGATACATTCTCAGAAATGCATTGTTAGGCGATTTTATCATTGTGCACATATTATAAGTGTACTCACGTAAACTTAGATGCTATAGCCTACCACACTTTTAGGCTATATGGTATAGGCTGTTGCATCTAGGCTACAAATCTGTACAACATGTTCCTATACTGAATACTGTAGGCAATTGTTAGAAAATGGTAACTGTATGTGTATGTATGCACAGAAAAGGTACAGTGAAAATACTATATTATAATTGCATAAGACCACCATTATTGATTGAAACATCATTGTGTATTATATGACTGTATCATAAATCATAGTAAATACATAAAATATAACAATGACTTAAAGTTTCCTATTACCTGACACTAATAACATTTCAGACATAATCAAAGTTTTAGAGGCACTACTGCTTCAGTTCTTTTTTCTTTCTGATAACCACTAATCCCTTTCTCATAAATAAACGCAGGAGAGCACCAGGAGAAATACAAAGTGCTAGTATGATTTTTTATTTTCTTTTTTGAAAACATCCTCTAGGAAGAAAAAGTGAATAAGGTGCAAAGCTGATTGGACTGTTCGTTCTAAGCTGCAATTTAATAAATTAATTGCAGCATCCCTGGTTGTATCCATTCTCCCTCTTGCCTAGTTCAGTCAATGTTCTTCTAAGTCTAATGCAAAAATCATCTGTTTTTTTTCTTGATTTTAGTTGAATATTAGTTTGTCTTTAGAAAGCAAACTCCGAATTGTAATAAATTTTGGTCTCTGATAGTTTTCAAACTTGTTATATAAACAGTTTAATAATCTTATTGCAAAGCAAGTACTATAGTTATTACAAAACTGTATTTGTGTTTTGTGTAATTATGAAATGTGGTTTCATTGTTTATGTTAAATAGTTGCTATAACATTTAAATGGTTGTAATGTCTTCCCAAGTCACTTAATTTGACTTAATACAAAATTTGTTGTATGTTTATATTTATATTTTGTGCTGAGTAAATCTTGTTATATAACAATATGATATGAATTAAAATCTTTAATTTTTTGGTAATGATATCTGAGTCATCACCTTGCAAATAAAGTAATTAGTAACAATCCAAACAATCCTTGTAAACATATATTCACTGCAAGAATGACAGTGTAATGCCAACTCATATGTATTGTTGCAGAGTGTTATATGACATTTAGTGTGTACTTTAATGTAAAAATATGCAGATGTTTATATACTTACTGTTAGTGTATTGTAGGCTAATATTTTTATATTTAATTGCAGTACTTTATTTTTTAAATAAGCATCACTTTGCCCTTTTTATAATCTGGTATTCTCTATTCTAACATGCTGCTCTGTAGTTTTGACATTAAAAGATTTTACACATTTTAATATGTTTATCATGTAATTGAGCAATCAAAAGAGAAATAAATGAAAATAGAACAAAAATATTGAGTCTATATCTCAAAATTTTTATTAATGATTAATATATTCAATAAAACCTTATTTTTTTTTCAATGAATTCTGGTGCAATTGGGTACTGTCTCATTAAATGATTCTGAGAGAACATAATATGTTTATCATAAAGAATGAGACACATTTTCACAATTACAGCTGTATATCTGAACTTAGAACAATTTGCTTATCAAAATAGTATTTAATATTGGAAATAAAGACAGGAGTTTTTGTTTGGAATTGAGAAAATCACAGTTTCTGAAGAATTGAGTTTTTGAGGTAACTGAGTTTTGGAGGAACTGAGTTTTAGTTTGGAATTGAGAAAATTTACTGGCAATTTTTGAAAATGCTAAACTGTTAAAACAATAAATATTCAAATAAAAAAGATGACAAATCTTTTTTTTTTGTTTGCATTTTTAGTTCAATTTTGAAGGTACTATCACAATTGCCTAGCTGACATTAAGAAAAAATACGAAATGTTATACTATAAGATATGAGTACGATAAAATAATTTGTATAAAGAACTTTTATTTGGGATACTTGACTATCAAACAGATTTTCAAAATAATGGGCCAGCCAAGAATTTTTAAAGGATAGTCAAGCAAATATTAATAATATTTTCCCTGTGTATATAGTAATTTCCCTATCTTTTAAAAAGTTACAATTAAATAAATATTTATTTCTACTTGGAAATAAACCCTCTTAAAATGTTAGAGAAAGAGCCATCTAGGTAATATTAATATGATCTAGAACGAGCACTACTAAATGTATTTGATGAAATCAGAACAACAATATCTTATATCAAACTTAAAAGCTTGTTTTGTTGCAGACTAAGTGAAGCGGGGAATTGAGGAAGTCTGTTTATAAATAGACTACATCACTGTCTTTCAGGGATTCTTCAGCTATGCTTTAGGCATGTATACATACAGAAGACACTACATTAGATATAAGAAACTTAAGATGTGTATCTGTCCTCAGTTAGGAAGAACATTCACAAACTTCATCGTGTGAATAATTTGAACATTTGTTAGAGATTTCTTGAGTCTTCTTTGAAAATTAAATCTTCTCTTAGGTTGCTATCCAATTACAATTCTCTTAACATCTGGGACCGTCTAATTTCGGTAAGAGTAAACAGATGCTGGCAAGAAACCATCGAAATGAAGATAATATACAATATAAATATGCATTACACTTATCAAGAAATGAATCAAAGAAGGAACCAAATTTATAGATAACATGTGACTTTAGCTACTATTAGCTTATATTTTATAAAAATGAAATATGGAGTACATCCCAAATATATTTTTACAATTAAAAAAGTGGGACATTTCAAACAAATGATAACCAAAAAAATTAGGAGAATATAACAGAACTTTGATAATCCAATTAGAAATTTTATTTGGCATCCAAAAGGCTACTTTATTTCATATCCAGAGAAAATTCTGAAGATTTTTATTCCAATGTTAAAGCCACACCTTAAAAGCTCAGACTTATCCTTAAACAAAGTAACTATTTATATAGGTAAACTGTCATTGTATTTATTGTAACTATGAGTTTATATTAAGAAAGGTATTACACAGACTAGTGACAGGAACTCCTAATCGAGTTTATTATCATGAAATATATTCATAAAAACATAGAAGACATACTCATAAAAGTATATAAAAATAGAAGTCATAAACAATGAAATCACATTTCAGTTTACTTTTAAACATTCATACATTTTATATCCTTAATATTTGATTCCCTTGTTAAAGTGGAACTGATGTTATCAAAATAATAGTTTTACAAGATTATAGGATGAGCAGAAGGTATATTTGCTTACTATTTCTATAATAGCAAAATAATAGCAAATGTAAAACATTTTGCCGCAATTCAAACAAACATATAAAAAGTGAACAAAAAGAGCAAAGGGGACATGTTCATAATCATCGTAAATCAAATTAGAAAAGAGGTTTTTTTTTTTTTTACATAAAATAAACTTCAATGTTTCATTTGTCAATTGTTATTGTTACAGTTTTAGGTGACAAAATGTTGACTGAGAAAAGTTCACCAAAAAATAAGTTAACTATTAACTGTATCCCACTTAAAAAAAAAAAAAAAAAAAAACAACAAAGTAAGACTAGTCGAAGATTACTTTTACAGAGAGATTCAATAAACAATGCATTTAAGGGTAAACCAGTATGGAATATTTTTTCTTAGGAAACTCACTTAGAATATATATCACTGTGATTCCACACGCGCTATGGTCCTTTATATAGAGTTGAATAAATTCATTATTTTCTCAGCAGTTAAATAAACAAAGTCTGCGTTCCCTGAATAATAGGAAGATTTCATGCATGTGCCTGCTGGCTCGCTTCCTCTGTCCCATTTGCAAGCTTCAGTAACTGTTCCCCACAGAGCACCAAAGGGACACAACAAACACGTGAAGAGATCACTGTTATCCCACAGAATGAGCTTTACAGTAACTTGGATCTCTATATGACGGTGTAAATTCAGAGCAACTTACCCGATTCTCTGCAACAAAGGTGGTAAACTTTTCAAGGAGTGAAAATCATGCAATACTTCAGAGAAATGCAGGATGCAGCTGCTGCTCCAGCCTGTAAATTGGACTGCACTGACATTCAGTGTTACTGAATGTAGCAATCAACTGTTACTGACAAAGCTCGCGAGAGTTGGCAGCAGCAACTTGATCTAGAGGCAGCCAGTCTTTACTTTCTGACATCTGTTCAGAGGCTAATGGTATGAATGCAATAGTGATTCATTTACAGTAGTATTACAGGATTCATGCTTTACAATTGCAGGTACTCTTCTAAGAATGAAGAAAAAAAAATAGAAGCTTCTTTAAAATAATCTGAAATGTAACAGAAAATGCATGTTTCTTTTAACACTATCTAAACTTTAAAAAAATTATTTTTTAGAATATACATATTTCCTATGCTTGTCTTAATATTTAAAGATGTATATATCATTCTAAAGAAGTGCTATTATCGAAATCCATTATAGCTTCAATCTGTGCTAATTATGCAGCTAGAGAAGATAGTAAAAGAGAAAATAAGAAACAGAATTCTCCATATATAAACTTGCAAATCAAAAACTTAGTCCTACTAACTGAATGAATGTCTCTGATATGTATCTCCTTTCAACCCCCACACTCCAACACTTATTTAAGTCATACAAATTTCAGCATTGGTAATTTCCTATTCAGAAGACCCTGCAGGCAGTCATATATGATGAGAAGCCACAATTTTCTGGTCAAGACAGGAAAAAGAAAATGAATAACCTTCACCAAACTCTATAAAAGAGACACATTTGTCAACTGGCAGTGCACATGCTCTGGGGAATATATTTATGTCTTTGGCGCTCATCTTTCTTCAAATGATGTTCAGGAAAATAATTAAAAAAAAAAAACCTTTAATAAACTCTTTAATCCCTATCTTCTCAATGCAGTATATTCTGAATCTTCTGTAAGTGATAGCTTTCACTTTTAAATCTCTTACTTTTGGGCTCACTATGGAGTAAACAGAAAGCATATTTGCAGGTGAGCACTTTTTTTGTCTTTTGACAGAGTGTTAAATTTTCAAACAAACAAATATAATTGGCATTTATTGTAATTCTAATTTATGCCATTCATTATAATTGACAATTTACATTAAATCTTTTATATTATTCCAACAAATATGAGAGTTATTACTATTAGCCACCTCATCAGATGAGAAAGCCAAGGTTTATACAAGTCAGACGCTTACTATATTTCTTACCACTAGTACCCGCTGGGAAACAGAATTTTAATCTGTATTAGTCTATTATTTCATATCAAATGCTTCCAAGAGAATAGCTATTTTGGTCTTTTAAACATCTTTTCTGTGAAAATTGTTACTTAGGCAGTATTGACTCAATAATAAATATCACGATCACAATTTATCATGATCATAATTTATAATGTATTTAGAATATAGTTTATGTAATAACAACTTAGTTACACAAAAGGTACAGAATACATAATCTATCTAAAAAGGAGGAAAAGGAGGTGGAGCACAGTGGTTCACGAATGTAATCCCAGCATTTTGGGAGGCCTAAGTGGATGGATTGCTTCAGTCTGGCAGTTCCAGACAAGTCTGGGCAACATAGCAAAACTCCATTTCTACAAGAAAATGGGTCAGTCATGGTGGTGCACGCCTGCATTCCCAGTTACTTGGGAGGCGGGTGAGGTAAGAGGATCACCTGAGCCTAGGAGGTCGAGGCTACAAGCCATGATTGTGCCACTGCACTTCATCCTCGGTAACAGAGTGAGATCCTGTCTCAAGAAAATAAATTAATTAATAAATCAATTAAAGCAAGAAAAGGCTTTTAAAATGGAAGTATACTGACAAATTTGCAATGATCTATATAGTGATGGCATTTCTGTTTAAAATATAGTAAATCTGATGTTCTACATGAGAGTTCATAGGTTCAATATACATGATTTTTAAAAATCCAAATGTCAAAATTCTTCTCTCCAACACAAGTCTACTGCATTGTTTCCTGTGTTAACATACAGTCAGCCTATCAAACCTGGCAATTATTAAGGAATGTTTTGTGATGTTAGTGAATTCAGCAGAGCATTTTACACTCTTTCTGTATCTACTCACTGCTAGGTAAAAATATGTCACATATATACACGTATTTCATTTTCATCTTTAAACAGGAAGCCAAACAATAAAATAATTGGTTTCAAGCAGATCTTTATCTTTAATGCATGTTTAAACTGGCTAACTAGCAACATCAACTGATTACACAAGTTGGCAATTTTTCTTCTGCTCAATGTCTTTACTTCAAAGAACCATCTTCTGTTACTGCCGCTGTAGTTCTTTTCCTCACATGATTTCACAGCTATGCCACATTAGTTCATTATTTCAGTGCACCTCTAAAGCATTTCTTCTTCCTGTCTTGGGAGTTTCTTCCTTGTGGCTCAACTTACAGCAGCTGCTTTGCTTCTGTGAGGTCATCCTTTTCTCACACATATCCAGCGGAAGGATGTAGGTCACACACAGTGAGCTTGTTTTAGGGTTAGTAGGCAAGCACTATTCCATTACCTCACAACCTGGATGGTTAATGATCCTGCTGTTAAATGTTGAGTATGCCTTGTAAGCGACACTGATGAAATACCACAAGACACTTGACACGGCACTAATACTGCTCAGATTTTGCAACCATATATGCTGAAGTCTGGGCAGGACAATCATTATGGTCTTGGCTCTGTGATCACTTTCAGTTAGCCAGTCACAGTGGTTTTTTGCTTTTACCGCCCCATTGTAATTCAGTTACCACTGTTTTCTAGATAGCAGCATTCAGTAAGATTTGAGATGGTGTGAAAAACATTAATCCTGTATTACACATTAGTTTCCCTTAGGCACACTGATGCCAAAAAAGTGCTCTAAACTTATATTAATTTTATTCAGTTTTTACAGTAGCACTGTGTTCTCTGAACTAAATATGGATGTAAAGAAAAGTGTATTCATATGTGTGTGTGTGTGTGTGTGTGTATATATATATATATATATATATATATATTTTTTTTTTTTTTTTTCCTGAGATGGAGTCTCACTCTGTCCCCCAGGCTGGAGTGCAGTGGCACAATCTCGGCTCACTGCAACCTCTGCCTCCTGGGTTCAAGCAATTCTCCTTCCTCAGCCTCCTGAGTAGCTGAGATTACAGGCACCCACCATCACATCTGGCTAGTTTTTGTATTTTTAGTAGACACAGGATTTCACTATGTTGGACAGGCTGGTGTCGAATTCCTGACCTCAGGTGCTCCACCCGCCTCAGCCTCCCAAAGCGCTGGGATTACAGATGTGAGCCACTGCATCCAGACCAGAAAAGTATATTTCTACATTTTACATATCACAGAGAATGAAAAGATTATTTTGTGTATTCCAGTCAATTTTTAAAAATATGTGTATGTGGTTATAGTTACACAGACAAATATAGTGGTAGTCAAATGGCTTATTATCATTCTTCTTGCTTTTTATCTTATAATATTAATTTCCTATTCAAATATTTTGATTACTGTATGATATATTATCATATGGGCATATTATGCTTCGTTGTATCTCTTGTTATTTATATGATGATAATAATAATGTTAGGTAATAAATATTATTTGAAAGCACTATTCTATCCACTTTGAATACATGAATTCATTTAAAACTCATGACTGCCTTTAATATAAGCACTATTATTATCCCTATTTTAAAGTTGAGAAAATATAGCTACAAAGGGTTTAAGTAACTTGCTCCAAATCATACAGATAGTGAGGTTAGTTTCTGACTTTTTTAATGTAAGTGTTATTACAATAGGCATTTTGTATATTGATATTTGAGTGCAACTTCTAATTATTTTCTTAATTTATTTTCCCAGAATTGGAATAACCAAATATGATGGGGACAAAGTACATATACATATATGTGTGTATATGTGTGTGTGTGTATATATATGTTGATATATATATGTGTATATATATTAAGTCTTCTGGAATCCTACACAGACTGTTGAATAGAAATAATTTTCCAACAATTCTGGCACAAAAGGGAAATGTTTTTATAATCAGACTGAACATGTCTCTGGAGCCCAGGGACCAGACCCTCACAGCTGGATGTGGCAGGTGTTTGAAGGTGGATATCTCCAGAGATATTAGAAGTAGGTCCAGCATCATAGGTAATAAAATTCTTTAGTGATGTTGTGGCGACTAATATGGAAGGCCTTGCAGGAAGTGATGTCTGCAAGGGATAACACATAGATATTTTGGGGTTAAGGGAGAGTGAGTGATGGGAGGTCTGTGGTGCTTTTTACATGAAGATACAGATAGTTTGGGTAAAGGAATTATGGAAAGAGATCTACAGGAAACAACAATTTGGTTAGACACTAGAATATTAGATTCTAAGAACAGAAATAAAATCAAGAAAAAGCAACAGCTTCTAAGGAAATGTGGTGCCAAGTGGATTTTCATGAATTGGCAAAGCCAGGAGAATCAAAGTAAGAAAAAAAATTCTGAACTAAATTGTTCAGGGCTTGAGCAAATAAAAGGAGAAACTCATTATTTTAAAACATAAACCAAGGGAGAAAAACAGCAAGCTTCTTTGTTTATCACCTAATTTACTGAATTGGCTTAAATTTACTCTTCCCAAACCCTTGACTATTCTTGGAGTCTCACTCTCAGAAAAATTGCAAAGTAGCATGTTATCAAATTAATCAAAGTGCTATTTAAACATCCAGATTTCTAGGCCACATCCCTGGACTTTGGTTTCAGTAGACTTGAGGACAGCGTTATCCTACTGTCCTCTGTGAAGCTGATAGAGGAAATTCACAAACTACACACTAAGAGGCAAAGTCCTGGAGCCTGGATACTAAGGACATTTTTGTGCTACCATATATATATGCTTTTTCTTTTTTTAATTCCTTATTCTCATGCACAACTGTACCTTTTGCTTCAAGCTAATTTGGAAATACATCACACATAGTCTTTGGTAGCCTACTTTCATATAACCTATCTTAAATTTTTCCAAAATAATGCTACCAAATATTTTTTAACTTCATTTATATGCCTATATATTAATTATGTGTATAGGTACAATATAATTTATCTAACTTGCTTTTATTGTATATGAAGACTATTTTAAATTTTTCCTG